CAGGGCTAATTTTAATTTTTTTAATCCTCACCTGAGGGTATGTTTTTATTGATTTCTAGAGAGAGAGGGAGGGAGAGAGAGACACACACACACACACACATCAATATGAAAGAGAAACATAGCCCTGGCCGGTTTGGCTCAGAGGTTGAAGCGTCGGCCTGCGGTCCAGAGAGACCTGGGTTCGGTTCCCGCTAAGGGCATGTACCTCGGTTGCAGTTTGTCCCTGGCCCTGGTTGGTCGTGCGGGTGGCAGCCACTCGATGTTTCCCTTCACATCGATGTTTCTCTCTCTCTCTCTCTCCCTCCCGCTCTATCTGAACAAAAAATGGAAAAATGTCCTCGAGTGAGGATAAAAAAAAAAAAAAAGAAAAAGAAAGAGAAACATAGATCAGTTGCCTCCTGTGCATGCCCCGATCTGGGATTGAACCTGCAACCTTTTTATTGGTACACCAGATGACACTCCAACCAACTGAGCCAGCTAGCCATAGCAGGCCTGAGCTTTTGTTTGTTTATTTACTTTTTTTAAATCGTCACCTGAAGTTTTTTTTTCCATTTATCTTCAGATAGAGTGGAAGGGAGGTGGGGGGAGAGAGCTAGAGCTAGAGCTAGAGCTAGAGCTAGAGCTAGAGCTAGAGCTAGAGCTAGAGCTAGAGCGATAGAGATAGAGATAGAGATAGAGATAGAGATAGAGATAGAGATAGAGATAGAGATAGAGGGAAGGAGGGAAGGAAGAAAGGAAGGAAGGAAGGAACATCCATGTGAGAGAGACACATTGACTGGTTGCCTCCCGCACGATGACCCGACCAGGGCTGGGGACCAAACCACAACCAGGTATGTGCCCTTGACCGGAATCAAACTCTCAACTCTGTTCCACTGGCTGATGCTCTAAATGCTGAACCAAATGGGCCAGGGCCAGGCCTCAGCTTTAAATTTTTTTAATATTTTTTTTTATTGCCCTAGCCAGTTTTTCTCAGTGGTTAGAGCATTGGCCTAATGACCAAGAGAGTCATAGGTTCAATTCCCAGTCAGAGGCATGTACCTGGGTTGCAGGTTCGATACCCAGCCCGTCAGGGTCATTTGGGAGGCAACCAATTGATATGTCTCTCTCACATTGATGTTTCTCTGTCTCTCTCTTTCTCTCCCCCTCCCTTCCTACCACTCAATCTAAAAATCAATGGAAAGGTGTCCTCAGGTGAGGATTTAAAAAATACACACACACACACACACACACACACGTTTTTATTGATTTTTAGAGAGAGAGGAAGTGAGAGGGAGAGAGAGATAGAAACATCCATCGGTTGCCTCCTGCATGCTTCCTACTGGGGATCAAGCCCACAACCTGGGCATGTGCCCTGACCAAGAATTGAACCTGTGACCTCTTGGCACATGAGACCATGCTCAATCCACTGAGCCACACTAGCCAGGCGGGCCTGGGCTTTTAAAAAAGTTGAGACTAGTAGTTCTCAATATTTAGTGTGCTTCAAAATTACCTGGAAAACTGTTAAGACCGATTTCTAGGCTTCACCCAGTTTCCTTTTTCTTTTCTTTTTTTGATATGTGCCCCTAGTGGAAACCGAACCCAAGACTCTCTGGTCCACAGGCCAATGCTCCAACCGCTGAGCCAAACCGGCCAGGGCTCTTTTTCTTTTTTAAAATTCATTTATTTGTTTTCTTTCTTTCTTTTTAAAATTTATTTTCTTTTTACTCACCCACACAGTTTCTGAAATCAATAAGCCTGGAGTGAAAGCCCCAGAATTTGCATTCCAAACATTTCCAGGTGACACTCTTGCTGCCCGTCCAGGGATCACAAGGGCGCCCTCTTGAGAGCCATTGGTAATGGCAATAGCCAGACGTCCTTGAGAAAAGGCTCTGCTCCTGCTCTGAAGACTTCAATTAGGCCCCTCTGCTAGGATTCAGCTGGGAAGACAAAAGGTTCTTTTAAATGTTCACAGCTCTACAAACCCACAACGTGGTATCCCAGGCAGAACTGAGTGCTGGGGCCGCTGAGAAAGCAGCTGTGGCAGGGGAAAGCTAATAAATGGTGGTTGAGAGAACCAGGAGCAGAGAAAGTGTCTGAGTTCCCTGAATTGCAGTGTAAAAACCACTGAGTTTACATATAATTTGAGGCAGTTCTTGGCTGAACAGTTTTTATTTTAATAGCTATGTAGGTTCTTTTTCTAGAAAATTTCTGTTTATGACAAATGAATCTTGCTTTCCATACTCTACAGTGAGAACCAATATAGTGGTTAAGAGCATAGACTTGGAGCCAAACCAGCTGGGCCATGTTACTGTGTGACCTAGGGCACGTTCTATAACCACTCTGTGCTTCAGTTTCGTCATTGGCAACATGGGATGGTAACAGAATCTACCTTGTAGTATTGTCATGAGGATTACATTACTGCATGTAGAGTGCTTAGAACAGAGTCTGGCACTTAATAATCACTATATAGGAACAGTATTAGTTAATATGACTACAATTTCCTTTTTAAGTGAGTCTTTTTAAAAGTGAATCAATTAAAGTATTTGGTGGATGATAGTGCAGATGGTTTGTGGACATGGCAGAAGTTGAGAGGTAACGCAAAAATGCCTAAATTTAGCAAAGATTTTCTTTTTTTCTTTATCCTCACCCGAGGACATTTTTCCATATTTTGTTCAGATAGAGTGGGAGGAAGAGAGAAAAAGAGAAACATTGACATGAAAGGGACACATCAAATGGTTGCCACTCACACGACCCATCCAGGGCCAGGGACAAACTGCAACCGAGGTACGTGCCCTTAGGGAAAACCAAACCCGTGTCTCTCTGGACCGCAGGCTGACGCTGTAACCGCTGAACCAAACCGGCCAGGGCTGCTTTTTTTTTTGTTCAGATAGAGGAAGAGAGAGAGGAAGAGAGAGAGAAAGAGAAACATCAACGTGAAAGGGACACATTGAGTGGTTGCCACCCACAGGACCCAACCAGGGCTGGGGACACACTGCAACCAAGGTACATGCCCTTAGTGGCAACCGAACCCGGGTCTCTTGGACCGCAGGCCAACACTCTAACTGCCAAGCTATACTGGAAAGGGCTTAGCAAACATTTTCAAAGTGTGTCCCCTGGAGCCCCAGGACTGTTCCACTCCTGCACTACAGATGGGGCTTCAAGATGTTTGAACAGTATTTTGTGATTAAAAACAAAGTTTGCACCCTGGCCAGTTTGGCTCAGCAGTTATAGTGACAGCCCGCAGACCAATGACCCTTGGGTTCAAGTCCGGCCAAGGGCACGTACTTCAGTTGCGGTTTGACCCCAGCCCTGGTCAGGTCATGCGGGAGGCAACCAGTTGATGTGTCCCTCTCACGTCGATGTTTCTCTCTCTCTCTCCCTCTCTCCCATTCTATCTGAAGATAAATAGAAAAATATACTCAGGTGAGGATTAAAAAAACAAAGTTTGCAAACTTATACAGCTAAGAGTTTAGAGGAAAGAAAAGCTAATGGGGATGTTGATTCCTTAGGAGTCTAAACAGAGTAGTAGAGGATGGTGAGCAGTTTAGCCATAAAAGGGTTCAATCCAGCCCTGGCCGGTTTGGCTCAGCGGTTGGAGCGTCAGCCTGCGGTCCAGAGAGACCCAGGTTCGGTTCCCGCTAAGGGCACATATCTCGGTTGCAGTTTGTCCCCGGCCCTGGTTGGGTAATGCAGGTGGCAGCCACTCGATGTGTCCCTTTCATGTCAATGTTTCTCTCTCTCTCTTCCTCTCTCTCCCTCCCACTCTATCTGAACAAAGAATGGAAAAATGTCCTCGGATGCAGATAAAAAAAAAAAAAGGGTTCAATTCAGCTATACTTCCAGCAGAAAGGTGAGAGGAGGTCAGGGGTTGGCTGTGGGCAGAGTCCAAGAGGAGTTCCTGCAATGAGGCAGACATGGGGAAAGACAGCATGGGCCCCAGAATCAAAAGGATTTGGTTCCCTAGGAAGCGAGGGGGCTGGAAAGCAACCAGCATAGGTTAGGCAAGAAAGAGCAGGGTCAAAGGACTGGGGCCAGAGGCAGTCAGAAGCTTTCAGAGGAAGCCAGGTAGGGCCTGGAGAATGGGAGCACAGCCAGGCACATTTCGGCCAAGGCCAACTAACTGTAAAACCAGCCACCTGATTCTGTGCAGGCAGCGTCAAGGGCAAAGTTTGTACTGACAGCCTACTGTGGCATAAGAGCAGCTCTGTCATGGATGACCAAGCCTGACAGTCCAGTGGGGGTAGGGGTGGGGGGCAAAGCTGATGAATGGGGAGGCCCAGAATCCCTGGCCCCACACACTAGACCTTGGATATTGGCTTCCAGGGCCCCATTTGACCTCAGAATCACAGCCACTGCTCCTTTAACTTACTGTGTGCCAAGCATTTAACTTATTAGATTAATTAAGAGTCTTTTACTTGTGAGTAAAGAAATCAAATCAAGACATATTACTTTTTTAAAAGCGGGAGTACATTGGGAGGACACAGTAGTATCTCTCGATCCCCCGGTCAGGAGGTAGCTGGCCGCAGGAAAAGCCCAGAGTGGGCACTCTGGAGTGTCTGGCATTGGCCAGCAACTCTTTGGTTCTCCCTGTGCACCTGCCTCATTCCTTCTCCTCAGCACACAGGCTTTTTCCGATACTCTGTGGGTACAGCAGGGAGAAGGGGCCACCCGCAGGTCCCCACGTGCCACGTGACACATCCAGCCACAGGGAGAAACTAAAGCTGGATCTGCTGATTCCTCAGGGCAGTGAGGCCCTGCATGGGTCAGTGTCCACCTGGGTCCCAGCTGGCCATTGTGAAGGCAGGGCAGCAGGGCGTAAATAGAAATATGACTGCTGTGGCCCTTCATTGTAACCCTGAGGAGAATGCAGCCCTTAGGAGGTGTGTGGATTTAAATCCAGTTTTGTTTGGCTCCAAAAGCCAAGAGCTGGCCTTTGAAGGGGAGGGTAGAGGCAGAAGGGCCATGTTCACCAAGCCCATGGGACAAGGAGACATGGACAAAACACATAGTTCCATATGAAAATAAAACTTTAATTTGCCAAGGGATCATCATAGCAAACCCTGCACACCTCATACCCTCATTCTCCTCAGACCAGACACGCAGGGCCTCCCCTCCTCCTCCTGGAGGAGGATGGCATCCAGCTGGGAGGACAGTGCAGAGCTGAGGCTGAAGCCACAGCGTGCTCAGAGGTGGGCAGGGGGCTGGGCCGGCTCCTTTCGTCCCTGGCCAGCGATGGGCCGGCCTCGCTCCTCCCACATGGTGATGCCGTCGCAGGAGCAGATCTGCTTGGGGTTCTGGAAGAGGCCAGCAGAGCGTGCAATGATGCCACAGGCCAACCTGCAGAAGAATGTGTGGTCAAGAGTGGGCACTTGCCTGGGCCCCTCCTGGGTTCCACATGCATGGCTGGCAGAGCGCAGCCTCCTGTCGGACGCGGCGTTACCCACCTCTTTCCCGAGTTCCCCGTGATCCTGGATAAAGGATGGCTGCCCCGGCCCAGGTCGTCTTCTCCCTCGTCGATGACGAGGCTCCGGCCAATCACATCCCACACCTTTGAGGGGAGACAATGAACATCCTCAGACAGTGGCCCTCCCTGTGAGGAAAGGCCCTCACTTTCTTTTCCACTCACCTTCAGCTGCTCATCCTCTATCCTGAAGGTGGCTCGGCCACTAGCATCAGCGTGGACGTTCCCTAGGTCTCCCCGGTGCTGCAATGAGACCCAGGGGAAAGGAACATGGGGCACAGCTGCTAGGTTCTGGCTTCCCTGTATCTAACTCCCCTTCCCAAAAGTACCAGTGTCCTCCTGTGGGTACAGTCCGTAGGATGAAGGGACGGCCCAGAACACAAGGAAGCCAACTGGATGATTCCTCCCCAGAACTGAAATCCTGGCCAGAATGAGTCTTCCCCACTGGACCAGACTGTTTCTCCCATGAAGCCGTTGCCCAGCCTTGCATCCTGGCATCAGAAGCTAGCCCAGTTCCTACTTTTTTCCAAGCACAGTTCTCCAGCCTCCTGAAGACTCTGTGAGCCCTTGGAATCTGCAGTTCCCCTGGGCTTACACTGGCCAAGCTTGGCTTCTTGACCATCAGAGGCAGCCAGCATCCTTTCCCTGACATCCAGCCCCCAGGAACAGAGAGAAAAAACAGAGGAGCAAAGGGCCTGTCCTGCCCCTCGCCCAGAAGCTGGCTCTGCCTACCTTCTCCCTGGAAGGTAATAAAAATATCATATCTACTGAACACCTCCTAAATCAGACCCCCTCTGTCAGGCACGGTGGGTGCATATGCTCCCTCAAGGGGTTCGCAGCTCAGTGAGTCAGATATGAAATAGATGAGTGATTATGACACACAGGGTTAGTACAACAGTGTGTATTCTGGTGACAAAACCTTACTGACAAATCACAGAGACTCACATCTATGCGAATAAATTGTCCCCAACCTGACATTTTGGGCAGAAGCAAATGCCTGTGCCTACGTGGGCTGGTGCACAAGGCCTTGCTGCAGAGCTTGGTCACAAAGCATGCCACTGTATGATGGATTTGACGAGCAGCAAGAAAAGCCACTTTTGCTTTATCTAGTTTCCCAGAGAGACATCTGCTGCTTACACCTGGCACTTCTGTTACACCTTGTGTTGGTGTTTTTTTGTTTTTTGTTTTTTTCTTTATTGATCTTTAGAGAGAGAAAGGGAGAGGGAGAGAAAGAGAAACACCGATGAGGAAGAACATCGACTGACTGGGGATTTGGCCCACAGCCTGGGCATGTGCCCTGACCGGGAATTGAACCGGCGACCTCTTGGTACATGGGTCAACACTCAACCACTGCCACACTGGTCGGGCCTGTGTTGGGGCTTTTATGGTAGAAACATCAAGGAGGAGGAGGCAATGACACCAGAGCCTTGGGGAGTATTTTCAGGACTTGGCTGAGGGAGCAGCAGTGGGCAGTGTGGCCCAGTAGCAGAGGGTCAGAAGAGACAACCTTTCCAGTCCCTCCCCTATACACAGGTGGGTGGAACTGGGCGGGGTGGCCTCAAATGTCACACCAAGCAGCCTGGCAGGGCCTGTACCCTCAGGCACTGGGAGCCAAGAAGGGCTTCAGGCAGGGGCATGGCAGGGTGATCCCATGCTTGGGAGCAATCCCTCCACTACAGTGTAGGAAGAGAAAGGACTGGAGGGGGACAAGGAGAGAAGGGAAGGAAGCTGAGACCACTTAGGAGATGTACAACGAGACAACCTGGCTTGGATGTAAATTCCCACACTGAACTCATTTCCATTTGGCCAAAACCAGATGCTGAAATCTAAAAGGAACCTGCCAGTCATCATGGGACCTTGGCCACACAGCTCTTGCTCAAGTCTTCCTCTGTCTACATCAAGGGCTTAGGCACAATAGAGCGGCTGGCTCCAGCTTCTTCTGATTCCCAGCCCTGAGAAGGGCTCGGGCCAGAGCATAGGTCGAGAAGTGGTCTCTTGCCCTTCAAAAACCTCCACTTCCTAAGTGACACAGGCTGCCGGTTCCCAGATGCTTCTCGCTGGTTCACATCTTGAGGGCTCTGCTGTGATGTTTCCTCTGCTGAGCCTGCCATTCCCACTCATGTGGATCACCTGCCTAATTCCTGCTCAGCACCTTTCAAGGCTCAGTGAGGAAGATAGCTTCTGAGATGCACCTCCCCTGTATTCACACCCTTGTGCGCTCCCCTGAGGGTGGGCTGGACCTAGTGTCACATCCAAGATTAGGTTACAAAAAGAGTGTGGCTTCAGTCTTGGATGCCCTCTCTCACTCCCTTGCTCCAAGGGAAGCCAGCTGCTGTGTTATGAGCTGCCCTAGGGAGAGGCCCATGTGGCAAAAGGGCTGATGTCTGGCCAACAGCCCAGGGAGGCCCTAAGGCCTGCCTATAGCAACATGAGCCAGTGGAAGCAGGTCCTCCCCGCCTGGAGTCTTGAGAGGGCTTCAGCCTGTGACAGACCCTAAGCCGGAGGCCCCCAGCTTAAACTGCGCCGAGAATCTGTGAGATGATAAGTGCTTGTTGTTTTAAACCGCTAAATTTGGAGTAATTTGATTCACAACAATCGATAACTGATCATAAACACAAGCATGGCACTGTGCAATGGACCCGACAGAAAAGCTTCTCCAACTTTGGGGGAGAGGGGAATAAACATGTTTGACCATGAGAAATGTGACAGAGCTGTCAAAAGTCCAAAAATATCAGTTACATGAATTAAAAAAAACACATATCATGCATTCATTTGTTTTGTGGCAGATGGATGCAACCTTTCATCAGGATAGAAAATAAAAACCAAGGAAGCTTGTGAGTCCTGGAAGGGGGTAAAGAGGAGTCACCAGCTCCCAGGACCAGGACCCAGAGCCTGTCTGCTTCTGAAACCCAGGTGGGGAGAACACACAACACAGGGAGTGAAGTAGATGGTATTAGGAGTGTGAGGACAGGACATTAGGAAACATTAAATCACTGGTTTGACATCCAGGACAAAGTTTTCATTTGGTGTTGACAGGCCTCTAACACCTTTGCTAATCACTTTAACAAAGATAGAGTGAAATGCCCTGGCCGGTTTGGCAAAGCGGTTAGAGCGTCGGCCTGTGGTCTGGAGACACCCGGGTTCGGTTCCTGCTAAGGGCACGTACCTCAGTTGCAGTTTGTCACCGGTTCTGGTTGGGTCGTGCGGGTGGCAGCCACTCAATGTGTCCCTTTCGCGTCAATGTTTCTCTCTTTCTCTCTCTCTTTCTCTCCCTCCTGCTCTATCTGAACAAAAAATGGAAAAATGTCCTTAGATGAGGATAAAAAAAAAAAAAGATAAAGTGGAGTTCAGTTCCTGGCAGGACAGAGAGCACGTTTTAGGCCCGAACTGATTTATTTTTACAATGATCCTTCTATTAAGGCTAGAAGTGCTGGTTTTTCATTCTCTGTGGCAATAACAAGTTTCTTGTTAAAAAATCAATCTACCTTAGTTATATAAAAGAATGTCTTGCTTTGCTTCAAAATAGTGGTAGAGAAGGGCCGGGAGTATAGATAAAACAGGACGGGCCATGAGGCGGTGTGTTGAAGCTGGGTAATAGGGACCTGGGGGTTCAGGACAGTAGTTTCTCAGCTTTGGAATATGTTTGAAACTTTGCGATAAATTGAAACACTAAAAATCACTAAATTTACCTAAGGAAAAACAATGAGTCAATTTAAATCAAAACATTGAGTAACTAACAGAACAAGCAGTACTCAGATAAGGCAAAAATCATTAAGGCAGCACGTGACTCAGTCGATGGGGAAACACTTCTCTGGTGAAAAATGAAACTCCAGGACCAGCAGTTGGAGCATCGGGAATGGCGTGTTAGGGAAAACCTTCAACTTCTACACTGTCACTCCTCTAGGAAGCTGTCACACTCCCCATGCCCCTCAGGCTGAATCAGGTGCTTGCTCTGGGCTGCCAGGGCCTCCAGCCAGGATCATCTCACTGTGGTGCAACCACAGTGCTCCGTGGTCTCCATTTCCAGATTGTGAGCTCCCACGGGGCAGGCCTTGATCATAGCAAGTGTCAAAAAACGCCTCTGACTGGAACAAAAAAAGGTGAAGGGAAAAGACCCCACCAAAAATGAATCTCACTCGAAGGCCCCAAGAGCTGCCTGGCCGGCCTGACCTTGGGCTCTGTCTCAGCCCAAGCCTCACACAGTTGGACACTTACCCGTTCAGAGTCCTGGGGGCCCCCATGAGATGTTCCATCAGGGTTAAAGTGGTCCCCACAGCTAAGAAGAAAAGGTAGCAAGTGGGCAGTGAAACAGTAGCTCACAGGCCAGGTGATCCATCCTTTAACTACATTTCTTTCTTCTCTCTCTCTCTCTTTCTTTCTGTCATTCATGCATTCACGCATTCATGCATGCATTCAACAAACAGGCTCACTCTGTGCCAGGCTTGGGTTGAGGGCATTAAGAATCGAACATGGGCCCTGGCCAGTTTGGCTCAGCGGTTAGAGCGTCGGCCTGCGGTCTGGAGAGATCCGGGTTTGGTTCCCGCTAAGGGCACGTACTTCGGTTGCAGTCTGTCCCCGGCCCTGGTTGGTCGTGCGGGTGGCAGCCACTCGATGTGTCCCTTCACGTCGATGTTTCTCTCTCTCTCTCTCCCTTCCTCTCTCTCCCTCTCACTCTATCTGTACAAAAAAATGGAAAAATATCCTCGGGTGAGGATAAAAAAAAAAAAAAAAAAAAAAGAATCGAACATGGGTCCTGCCCTCAATAAGCTCCCAGAGGAGAAACAAATTAGTAAACAACTAATAGTATCTTAGCAAGACAAACTCCATGACACAGGGACCTGCCTTTCCCATGTCCAGGAGTCACCTTCCATCTCAAAGGCAGTAAGGTGTCTCTAAACAGGAACATCAAGGTCAGATTTTGGTTCAAATTCTTACTCTACCATTTACATGTTCTAGGGCCTTTGACAAATCATTTAACTTTGAGCCCCAGTTTTCTGATCTGTAGACTGGGCCTGGGTGCATATGCAGGACCAAGTGTGAAAGTGGGTACACAGCTGGGGGGATGAGGATGCTACAAGGGAGGTTACAGACAACTTACCTGTTGCAGTTGCTTGTGAGGTCCCCGAACTGATGAACGTGGAGTCCATGTGGCCCAGGCTCCAGGCCATCAATTGTTCCCTCTATGAGGCAGCGCTCAGGGGTCAGCTGTAGGAAGCGCACCACCCCCTGCACAGGGCCAGTTTCCCCTAGAATGGCCACTGCTGCTCCTAGATTCTCTGCAAGGCATTAGACACCTGGGTAGGCTTGCCACTTCACCCAGCCCCACCCCTTCATCAGCTGGGGAAGGGCATGGAGAGAGCCCCTCATAACTTTCATACCTTCTCCAAAGCATCTCCAACCCAAAGCCACAAAATCCTATGGTTAGGTTTATACCAGCCCCAGGCCACCTCCCTCCCGGAAAGGCAAGGCCAAGGCCACAGTAGTTACTCACGCAATAGGCCACTGCCCATGCCCTTGAGTATCGCCTGCCGCCCTGTTCCTTCTAAGAGGGCCTGCACCTCCTGGCTGGGCAGGGTGGTCTGCACCAAGACCATCTGTTTTTCCAACTCCACCTCTACACTCTGGACACCTGGGAGAAGAGAGGGGGGCAGAGGGCAGCACAGGACTGGTACCCCTGTGCTGGGAACAGGGAGGAGAGAAACAGAGGGTGACTCCATCTTCACCAACCTCCCATGGCTGGAGGCAAGCTGGGAAGCTGCAGTCTTGCTTTGTAAGGCCCTTAACCTCCCTGAGGCTGTTTCTTTATAAACAAAGTGGGGATAATGTTACCTCACTTCCAGGATTGTTTTGAGTTCTTATTACATGCTATGCATTATTTATAACTTTTGAAACATAGATAATTCTTTTTAAAATATTTTCATAAATGTGGGCTATCACAGCAGCAATATTCATAATAGTCAAAGGTGGAAACGACCCAAATGCCCATCCCCAGTGATAAACAGGTAAACGTGGTATTTCTATACAGTGAAATACTATTCGGCCATAAAAAGGAATGAAGCACTGCTGTGCACTACAACATGGACGGACCTTGAAAACATTGTTATGGGGAAAGCCAGTCACAAAAGGCCACATGTTAGATGACACCATTCTGGATGAAATGTCCAGAATAGGTAAATCTATGAAGACAGAAAGTAGACTGGGGAGAAGGGAATAGGAGGGTGATCACTAAAGGGTTCAATTTCTTCATGAGGTGGTGGAACATAAAACTGATAGTGGTGCCCTGGCCGGTTTGGCTCAGCATTGGCCCGTGGTCCAGAGAGACCCGGGTTCGGTTCCCGCTAAGGGCACATACCTCGGTTGCAGTTTGTCCTCGGCCCTGGTTGGGTCGTGCGGGAGGGAGCCACTCGATGTGTCCCTTTCACGTCGACGTTTCTCTCTCTCTCTCTTCCTCTCTCTCCCTCCCACTCTATCTGAACAAAAAATGGAAAAGGGTCCTGGGATGAGGATTTAAAAAACAAACAAACTGATAATGGTGATGGTTGCACAACTCTGTGAACATACTAAAAATCACTGAACTCTATACTTTAAATGGGTGAATTTTTGCCCTGGCCGGTTTGGCTCAGCAGTTAGAGCATCAGCCTGCAGTCCAGAGACCCGGGTTCGGTTCCCGCTAAGGGCACGTACCTCAGTTGCAGTTTGCCCCTGGCCCTGGCTGGATCGTGCAGGTGGCAACCACTCGATGTGTCCCTTTCATGTCGATGTTTCTCTCTCTCCCTCCCACTCTATCTGAACAAAAAAATGGAAAAATGTCCTCGGGTGAGGATAATAAAAAATAAAAATAAAATAAAATAAATGGGTGAATTTTGTGATATATGAATTTTATCTCAATAAAGCTCATGCACATATAAGAAAGGGTTCTATCATCATCACCATGAGAGCCAACATTTGTTGAGCATGCACTGTGGGCTTTTTCGTACTTTAGCTGTAGTAACTCCTTTCACACTCAAGTGAGTTGGGTACTATTAACCTTATATTACAGATGAGAAAATCGAGGCAGAGAGAAATTAAGAAACTCGCTCAAAGTCACGTTGTAATAAATTGTGGAACTGGAATGCATCCCAGGCAGCCTACCTCCAGAGCCTGAGCACTTCACCTGGACACTGCTCATCTGAGAAGCAGCCCCCAGCCTCCAGGCAGGGTTGGGACCCGCTCTGCCCTCCTGGGATACATGGAGTAGCAGCTGCCACTTCCCTGCGTTAACTCATACTACACCAATTCCAATCCTCTGTGTATGTTCCACAAGGGTCAGTTTCAAGAGTTAGTATGTCTCAATTGCCCCCTAAACCGCAAAGTCATCCTGTGTATACACAGCCTGTGGGATGATTCTGATACATGCTGAGCTTTGACGAACATCAAGCCAACTCAAAGAAGGAAAAAAGGGGCTTCTCTTTCATTCAGATATTCAGGGCTCCCAAGTCTTTTAAGAGAACCCTGGAATCCTCAGCCAGCATACAGGGGATGGGCTTGGAATCCAAATGCTACTCTCACCTGTAGGGCTTACAATCATTCTTTTTTTTTTTTAATGGGTCATGTTTATTTTCTCTGTACCATTTCAATTTTAGTATATGTGCTGCCAAAGTGAGGGTAATCATTCTGCTTTGATCGCAGTAAGTGTGTTTGTTGTGCTGCAGGATAAAGCCCAGGGGAGCTGTGGGCAGGCCAGGAGACAGGTTAAATGAGGCATTTCATGAAACGTTCAGCTAGCGCTCATGAACTAATGTTACACTGACCATTGGCCTTCCCTTCATCCTTGGTTTCCCTTATCCGTATTCTTTCAACAAATGCATACTTGGCATGGAGGTGGCCAGGGTCAGGGAAAGCAATGGCCTAGTCCTCAGGGAGCTCACAGGCTGTGGGAGAACTCAGACTATGGGTTAACCATCAGGCAGAAAAGGGAGTAACAACTCCTGAGGTACAAAGTACCTCAGCTGTTCAGATTCCATCCTGCTCAAAGAAGGCAAAGCTGGGAAATGCTACTGGGAGGTGGCAGCATCTGAGAGACAGAAATATTTGGGCTGTGGCTGCAAGAGTTCTCATGGGCTGCTTCTTCAGATCCCCTGCAGCATCCTTGACACTGCTGGGGGACAGGCAGAATGTGTAAGCGATCAGGCAGACACACCCATCTTCTCCTCTTCAAGAACAAAGCAATTCTGGGAGCATTTGAGATCTTCCTCTCTGGCATACATCATTAGTTTGGCTCAAATAAATTCATAAAAATTCGCTAAAAAAGGAACAGGGCTATTCTGTGAAAAGGAAACTCTACAAATAATCAAACGGTCTCACTTCACACAACATCTCATCCTGGGCCACCAGCAGCCTGTGATGCCTTAGAGTTCCACGTCCACCTAGAAGTGCCTCTTGATGCAAAGGGAGTTTGGGGGAGGATGGCAATGCAAGCTTGTGGCCTGAGCCTGCAAGGTATGCCAAGAGCTGTGTGCTCTGCTTTACACACATCAGGATGGTGATACTGTCCTCATCTGGCAGGTGAGGAACTGAAGCTAGAAAGTTACACAACTGGCTTGAGGTCACAAAGCTTGGAAGGTAGCCTGTCCAACCCCAAAGCTGATGCTTGGTTCCCTCACCCTGAGGAAGTAGGGTTGAGCCCCAAAGGACTGATCGTCTGAGGCTCCCAGGGCTCAGATAAACATGTAATGCAAAAGGTTTCATTTATTCACTCGCCTATTCAGTCATTTAACAAATGTACGCTAAGCACCTATCACGCGCCATGTTCCAGGCAGTGGGGATACAGCAGGCACAAGTCAGGTGATATCTCTGCCCAATGAGGCAACACACGTCCAGTACAGGGATGCAAATGCCAAACACACACACGAGGCTAACTCAGACCGTGAAAAGTGTGATCAATGAAATGGATATTCGGGAACAACTGGGGGATTAACCACTTAGACAAGAAACGTCTCGCTGAGCCTTTAAGCAAAGGCCTGAATGTAGTCAGGGAAGGGCATTCCAACAGAGGGAACAGCATGGGCAATGACTCTGAGGCAGGAACAACAACGATGTGTTTTATTTTTTATTTATATTTTTATCCTCACTCGAGGACATTTTTCCATATTTTGTTCAGATAGAGTGGGAGGAAGAGAGAGAGAGAGAGAGAGAGAGAGATATCGAAATGGAAGGGACACATCGAGTGGTTGCCACCCACACAACCCAACCAGGGCCAGGGACAAACTGCAACCCAGGTACATGCCGTTAGCGAGAACCGAACCCGGGTCTCTATGGACCGCAGGCCGACACTCTAACCGCTGGGCCAAACCGGCCAGGGCATACACTGATGTGTTTTAGAAGAGAAAGGCCAGTGTAGCTGAAGCTGAGAGTAAAGAGAATAGTAAGATATGGAGCTATAAGTGAAGACCAATCAAGCAAAGTTTTGTAGGCAACAGGAAAAAACCTAGACTTGAATTTTAATGCAATGGGAGGCCACTGGGAGAGGCCATAGTGGATAGTGGTGGAGAGTGTGGGCTCTGGAGCTGAAATCCTGAGTCTGCCACATACTAGCTGTGGGGCCTTAGACAAGTTACTCAACCTTTTTGTTGAGTTTTCTATTCAGTTTCTTCATATGAAAATCTATTTCAGAGGGTTATTGAAAACCTAAATGAATTATTTCATATATAGCACTGAAAACAATGCCTGGTCCATGGGAAGCTCTCAAACATTACTTATAGAAGATTTGAAAAAGAGCAGCCACATTATCTAATGTATGATTTTAAAAATCACTCTGGCTTGTATTTTTTTAAAATATTTTTTCTTTATTGATTTTAGAGAGAGAGGAAAGGAGAGAGAAATAGAAACATCGATGAAAGAGAACATTGATTGGCCGCCTCCCACCTGCTCTCCACTAGGGATCGGGCCCACAACCTAAGCATGTGCCCTAACTGGGAATCGAACCAATGACCTCTTTTTTTTAATTTTATTTTTTCTTATTTTTTTATTTATTTTTTCTTTATTGATTTTTAGAGAGAGAGGAAGGAAGAGGGAGATAGAACATCGATGAGAGAGCACATCGATTGGCCGCCTGCTGCATGCCCCCCACTGGGGATCTGCCCACAACCTGGGCATGTGCCATGACTGGGAATCGAACCGGCAACCTCTTGGTGCATGGGTCAACACTTAACCACTGAGCCACACCAGCCGGGCGAACCAGTGACCGCGACCGCTTGGTGTATGAGTCGACACTCAACCACTGTGCCACACCAGCCGGGCTCACTCTGGCTTTTATATAGAAAAGCTATTAGAGTGGGCAACAGAGGCAACAGGGTACCCAAAGATGAAGTTCTTGTTCAGGTCAGGGTGAAGTGAGGTGCCAAGGATTGGTGTGAAGGCTCAAGTATGGAAAACAAGAGGCTGGACTCAGTATGTTTTAGACATACAGCAGACAAAACTTTATGAAGGCCTGGCTTCAGTGTAGGTGGGTTCCTGATCTGGGGTCTCTGAAGAAAAGCTGCTTCCCTTCTCCTGAAGTGGGGAGGGCTCCAAATGGGAAGCTCTTTGTAACTATGCACTTCTCGAACTCCTGTCCTGAGTCTGAACCAAGAAGGCTAAGCAGCAGTTAAGTTTGGCTGGTGAACCCCAGAATGTGGCCAGGCCAGCCCTTGTTTAGCTCAGAACCCAGTGAGAGAGAAAAGATAAGGCCACAGTGAACTCCAGGGTGTGTGATAAGGTTCAAGGAAGTGAGCCTTGGGCTGGGAGCTCCTCCCACTTATACCTAGGAGGAGAGCAGAGCCTGATTCCCCAAAGCCCCAGGTCTCCTGGAGAGGGCAAATCCCTCACTCCTCTCCTTCTGCATTCTGGGAAACTACAACCACCCTGCTCAGCCCATGAAAAACCCAAGCTGGTTCCAGTTACCCAGAACAGAAAATGTAGTCACCAGCGGTCTTTTTCTGTACCTAAAAACTGCTGAGGGCTAAAAATTGCTGTGTCCAACAGAAAGTCTAGCTGTCTGCTCTCCCAGCAAGAACATTTTACAGGAAGGGGAGAGCCCAACATCCTTAGAAAGCTTTGGTTAGAGCAGTGCACTCTCGGTGGGATGGCTCAGTCTCCTCAGACCCTTGCCCACTATCCCCAAACATAGCATACCCTCCTTCCTCTGCCCAACCAGATTACCACTTGCAAGCCCTTCCTCTCACAATTAACTAAGATTTAGTGAGCTCTTACTCCATGCCAAAGATTTTTTCTAAAGTGCTAATTAACTAATTTACTCTTCAGGACAATCCTCTGGAGTACCTTCCATTATCATGCCCTTTTAAACACTGAGGAGCCCTGGCCAATGAGCAGTGGTTAGAGCACCAAAGTGTTGTGAGTTTGATTCCCGGTCCATCAGGGCATATACCTAGGTTGCGGGTTTAATCCCCAGTCAGCGCATGTGTGTCAGGCAACTGATTGATGTTTGTCTTTAGAATCGATGTTTCTCTCTCTCCCTCTCCTTTCCTCTCTCTCTAATATCAATGAAAAGCGTATTCTCGGGTGAGGGAAAAAAAAAATCACCGAGGAAATAGAGGCACAAAAAGTAACATACATGATATCTCAGTGCCTCAAAATGGCAAAGAGGGGATCTGAACAGTCTTAACTCCAGAGCACAGACCCCTAACAACTAATGACCCACTGCTGCCCTACACAGAGCTGAGTGCCACCACTGTCCCAGCTTCAGAAGCATCTCACCTCATCTCCTTGCAGACCTGCTCTCCTAGGAGAAATGCTTATGTCCTTACCTAACTTGATGCAGGGCTGTGACTGAAACACTTGTGAACCCTTCTCCCTAAAAAGTCCCCAGTGTCTGGTATATACCTGCTGAATGACGAGATGAACATTTAACAGAATCAAAGGAAGGTAGTTTCCAGTGCAGTGCTGATGGCTCTGCTTTCTCGGATTTTTCTGGTTGTGCCAGGTCACCTCCAGACCAGCTTGCTAACTGACCTTTTATTTTATTTTATAGATTTTTAGACAGAAAGAGGAAGGGGGAAGGAGAGAGAGAGAGAGAGAGAGAGAGAGAGAGAGAGAGAGAGAGAGAGAGAGATTTGTTGTTCTACTCATTTATGCGTTCATTGGTTGCTTCTTGTATGTGCCCTGACTGGAGATCAAACCCGCAATGGCGCATGGAGACTACCTGTAACCAACTGAGCTACACGGAAAGGCTCCCTAGATGACTTTTAAGAACCAGGAGCCGCCCTGGCCGGTTTGGCTCAGCGGTTAGAGCGTCTGCCTGCGGTCTGGAGAGACCCGGGTTCGGTTCCCGCTAAGGGCATGTACCTCGGTTGCAGTTTGTCCCCGGCCCTGGTTGGTCGTGTGGGTGGCAGCCACTCGATGTGTCCCTTTCACATCGATGTTTCCCTCTCTCTCTCTCTGTTCCTCTCTCTCCCTCCCACTCTGTCTGTACAAAAAATGGAAAAATATCCTCGGATGAGGATTAAAAAAAAAAAAAAAAAAAGAACCAGGAGCTGCTTCACAAGCAAGAACCACCTGTTTTCCAGGGAACTTCTGTAGGCAGGGCTATACCTAGCCTAGCTCCTCACTCACCAGGCACCTGAGGTTTAAGACACCAGAAGGACAGGCAGCTGCTGACAGGGCAGCTTTGAGACCTATACTCCAGGCTCTGCCTCTGAGGCTGTGTGTGATTCTGAGAACATTCCTTCCTCTCTCTACGTCAATTTGTGTATCTGTAAAATTGGAGTAGGATTGGTCTAAGAGATTTGCCTACCTCTCCCAGAGGTCTCTGGACGATCCAAAGAAAATTTACTGGCTCTTACCTGCCACCCCTTGCAGGGAAGTGCGCACCGCGTCCACACAGCTCTGACAGGTCATCTGCACCGCGAACTCCAGCTGCAAGAGCGGCAGGAACCCACTGATGAGAGCTAAGAACCCCTCTTGCGTGACCCTGTTTCACTACCTTCCCTACGAACACTCCAAAGGCCTGGGGAAACGCCCCACGTGACCCCTCCTCAGGCGTCTTTTTCATTATTACTCAAGAGCATTTCAGCACCAACATTTTTCCAACATTAACACCAAGGACCCTCCTACTATCGCACTCATTTTACGCCGGGTCCCCAGGCCCCGCCTCTGGTGCCCGCTTCTTCCTCTCTTCTCGAGTGAACAATCACCCCTAGAGGTCGAGCTCTCTGTCCCGCGAGGCTCCCACACGAGGATTCAACCATTACCGTGCAGGCGGTCCCACGGTCTCCCGAGTCCGACGCCATCTCGGATCCAGTCACTGACAGGAGGACCCGAACCGCTTGAGTGCTATAGCGCAAACCCCAACTAGCGTCACGAGGAGGCGGGACTTCGAAAGCCAGACGTTGCCCCGCCTCCTGGTGCGCGCGCAAGCAAGGCCCTCCCTCTCCTCCCCCGAACCTTCAAGGCGTGACGAACACAGGCTGCGCAAGCGCACTTTGGCCGTTCGGTCCCTGGTTGCCTTAGTGAGCACTCGGCCACCTCTAGCCCCACAACCGACGCCGCCAGTGCTGAAATGGAGCCCTTTAAACCAGAACTTGAGCTTCAGCGGTTTTACCACCAGTTGCTGCGTCCACTGTCGCTCTTCCCCAGCACGGTGACGCGCCCAGACTCTCAGAAGCGCCTCCCGCAGGAGGTCTCGATGCTACCGTCCCTACCCGTCTCGCGGCTGACCGTGGCGTCACTGTGCCGCCGGGTAGCCAAGTGGCTGGCCAGCTGCGAGCTGGCAGAGCGGATGCCTCCTGAGGGCCGACTCCGTTTCACAGAGGTCATTCTGGAGGAGCTAAAGTGCAGCTGGCAGGAGCCTCCCATTGAACCTAATCTGAGCCACTTCAACAACCAGAGGCTGCGGAAGCGGCTGCTGGTTTACGTACTGCTCAGCTGCGAGCAGCTCTTCTTACGCTACCTGCACCTGCTGAAGACCATGCCGACCTCCTCATACGTCTTAACTGAATCCGCCACGCTCACACGGTTGGCCGCCTGCCTCGCCAGGGACTGCACAGTCTTCCTCACCAGCCCCGAGGTCTACCGTGGCCTGCTCGCCGACTTCTACGCGCTGCTGAAAGTAGAGCAGGCCCAGGGCAGCATGTACAAGCTTCACCCCTTTGGAGCCCCTGGGGCTTTCAAGGCACCGCCTCACAGCGCCCGCCTCGCCCAAATGCCATCCTGCAACCTCAACCTGAACTATCTCATCCAACTCAGCCGCTCACCAGAGTTTCCCAGTGAGCCTAGTTCCGACCCAGTGAAGGAACTGAGGTCCATCCCCCAGCTGAAGAAGAGAAAGACTCTCCGCTGGCTGCCCACCACGCAAAAGAGAGAAAGCTTCACTTCTTCACAGACTGTGTCACCACCCAGGCACTCGGTGGCTCTTACCAGCGGGTCTCCCCCCACCTCCCATTTGCCTCTCTACTCCCAGCTCCAGAAGTGCCAGTCCATGCCCTCTCTGCGTGAAGGCTGGAAATTAGCAGATGAATTGGGCCTTCCTCTACTCCACCCTCGTCCGTTAACCCCACTGGTCCTGTTTGCAGAGAGCAAGCCAGAGTTGGTAGAGGACATGGTGGCTGAGGACCTGAAGCAGATAATGAAGAACATGAAACTGGAGTGGACTCGATACTCACCCATGGACTCGGGCGTGTCCCCGCTTCTTGGGGCCCTTACCCACCACCCAGCGACAGCACATCGCATAGAAGTGCTGCAGAGGATGTTGAATGAGGAAGAAGAAGTCTCTGGGCATTGGGGTCCCCAGTCCCTCAAATCTCCTTCACTTTATCTACAGCCAGTGACCGTTACTTTGAAGCTAAAAAATCAAGTTGTGGTCCAGGCAGCTGGTGTACGAGTTTCTGAGAGAAAGTTTTTTGATTCCTTCCACGTTGAGGGGACCAGAGCCCTATACAACCACCTGGCTGGTGAACTGGAACCCAAACTTATTGAGGAAATGGATATTGATTGCTTTGTTGGTAATAGCATCAGAGAGGTCTACAAGGAGTTGATGAGCCGTGTTTCTACTGACCACTTTTCTTTTGACCAGGGACCACCCCTGATTGAGCCTGCAGCCAGTAAAGATTTGTCAGTGTTCCTGTTCTCAGCATTTCTGCGTCAAGAAAAGCAGAATCATGTTATCAACCCCAAGCTGGCAGGTCTTTATTCCCAGAGAGCAAGCGCTTTTCAGTCCAACTCTGATAGAATTCCCTCCCTCTCATCATTCCAAGCAAGCAAATCCTGGAAGGGGTGGTCAAATAAGACCTCTGGGATGAAATGTTGGAAAGCCACCTTGTCTGTGCATGATTATTTCAAGTACCTCACCAACCAGGAGACAGATTTTCTGCATGTTATCTTCCAAATGTATGAAGAGGAGGTTCCTGTGGAGATTGTGGCCCCTGTCAGAGAGTCCCTAAAGATTCAGCACCCACCTCCATTGCTAGAAGATGAAGAGCCAGACTTTGTGCCAGGAGAGTGGGATTGGAACACAGTCCTGGGGCACAATATAGAAACTAAGACGACTAGCGTCCTGGGAGAACCCCACAAAATCCTGAGCCTGCAGAATCGTCTAGAACAGTTGTGGTCCATGCTTGAGGTTCCCAACAAGGACCGGCTGGACATGGCCATCAAGTACAGCTCCAATGCACGTCTGAGGCAGCTGCCTTCATTGGTGAGTGCCTGGGAGCGGACCCTGGAGCCCATTCAGCTGCGGGAGATATTGCTGGGGAAACTGGAGTGGTTTGAGCGACAGGCCTCTGACCCCAACCGTTTCTTCCAAAAGACTGGCATGGATCTGAGTCATTTACTGGAGGAGAATCAGATCCGAAACCATCTACATAGGAAGCTCGAGCTAATGGAGGCTCCTTTGGTTTCGCTACTGGAGGAGGTTGAGTTCATCTTTGGTGAGCCAGTGACATTCAAAGGGCGGCGATACCTAGACAAGATGAAGCATGACAAGGTGGAGATGCTCTATTGGCTGCAGCAGCAGCGGCGGGTACACCACCTGGTCCAGGCCCAGAAGGCTTCCCACCCATCAGTCATGTTCAGGAGTCTCAGCGGGCACTCTTTAATAGCCCCTGAAAATACTCCTAGGCCAAGTGCCCTCTAATCCCTCCCTGAGCCCCAATATCCAGCATCTCATCCAGATCTTTTGACTGCTTTGGAAGAAGAAATATCTGGGAGTGCAGGGTTCAGGAACACTGGGCTTCCAATTACCAAGGGACTGAAATTAACACTTTATTTTGACAGTGAAATTCTCATAAAAGAATCCCCAGTATTCCCATTTATGTCAAGGCTAAACACAGTACAACCAAAATCTCATGTATCAAAAGAATTGAGACCATATGTACCTTGGAGTTCTTTGTTATGGAAAATATCAGACAGAGGCACATCTTCACCTTTGGAATACATGAGCATTTCTAACATGCTACATTAAATTGGCAGATAGAGCCCCAAATCAAAGGCTCTGTGGCATAATGGTTAAGAGCTAGGGCTCTGGCCCTGGCCAGTCTGGCTTAGAGGTAGAGCATCAGCCCACAGACCAATGAGTCACGGGGTCAATTCCGGTAAAGGTCACGTACCTTGATTGTGGTTCGTCCCTGGCCCTGGTCGGGGTTGTGCGGGAGGCAACCAGTCCATGTGTCCCTCTCACTTTGATGTTTCTCTCTCTCTCCCTTTCTCTCCCCCTCTCTCTCCCTCCTGCTCTATCTGAAGATAAAGAGAAAAATATCCTTGGGTAAGGATTAAAAAAAAAAGAGCTAGGGCTCTGGAGTTATTAGTAGATGTGGGTTTAAACCCTAGCTGTGTAACCTTGTGCAAATTACTTAACTACTCTGCACCTGGATCATCATATATCAGGTGAGGGGTTAAGTCCAAATTGTCACTTCTTCCAGTTCTAGCATAAAATTTTTTATTAAAATTTTACCAGTTAATATAAGCATATGGTACAAAGTACACAACAGTATGTACTAAAAAGTAAGTCTCCTTTCCATCCTTACTTCTAGTGCCTCAGTTCCCCTCCCTGGGGGTTACAACTATTACCAGTTTCTTGTGTATCTTTCCATTCCCTTATTAAGCAAATACTTACTAAGTACCTACTAGATATTTTATGTTTGGTTTATATCACTGAACAAAACAAGGATCCCTACCCTTTTTAAAAAATATGTTTTTATTGATTTTTTAGAGAGGAAGGGAGAGAGAGAGAGATAGAAACATCAGTGTGAGAGTAAAACGTTGATCGGCTGCTGCTGTCTCTCCGCCTGCCGGGATTGGTGCAACGCAATGAAACTACAAGCCACACGCTGCTTGGAATGAGGGGGGGAGCTTAACAAGGAAGCAAATGCTCTTGATCTTTGGACGCAGTCCCATTTATTAGCTGATTAGTACCCCCAGGTTACAAGCGGATTTATGTAAATTATGTCCTTGAGATGACGTTTCTGCAAACCGTACACCCTAGCTTTGTCTCTTGCTTTTTCAGGGAAAAGCCTTTGAAGCCAAAAGATAACAAACCCTTATTCACATGCAAATGAAACCCTCAAAGCACCTGGGCAAGCAAGGTTTTCGAGAATGCATTAACACAAAGCTAAGAGTGCATTAACACAAGGTTACAAAAGGTCCATCTTCCAACCTCCCAACCTCACAGGTTGCCTCCTGCATGCCCCCTACTGGGGATCAGGCCCACAACCCAGGCATGTCCCCTGACAGGTAATTGAACCAGGACCTCTCAGTCCATGGGACAGCACTCAAACCACTGAGCCACACCAGCCAGGCAGAACCCTACCCTTTGTAGAGTTTACATTCTACTGGAGGGAAATAGTCAATAAACCATAAGCATAGCACCTAAGCACATTGAATAATAAAATGTTAGCAGGTGATAAGTACTGTGAAAGAAAAAAGTAGCGTAAAAGGGAATAAAGGATGAGGGATATAGTTTTAATTAGGGTAATCAGTATAGGTCTCAATGAAAAGGGAAGATTTGAGCAAAATACTGAAGGAGGGGAGAAGTGAGCCCCATGAACATATAAGACAACAACTTACCTGACAGCCATTGCAAAGCTCTAAGGTGGATACCTGAAGTGTCTCAGAAAAGCAAAGTGGCCAGTGTAAATGGAGCAGAGTTAGGGGAGAGATGAGTCAGATGGGTCATGACAAGTTGCCAAGGGACAAGTGAGATCATGTAAGACCTCATAGGTCATTGTATGAACTAGTTCAGAGAGAGCCTATGCACATACAAGCATATGTATATATATTATCTATGCTTATGTTTATAACCACACCAGTGATAACATGCTGTACCCCTGTTTTTCTGTTTGTTTTTTGTTTTTAATACTCACCTGAGGATATTTTTCCATTTATCTTCAGATAGAGTGGGAGGGAGAAGAGAGAGAGAAACACTGATGTAAGGGAGACACATTGATTGGTTGCCTCCCGCACGACCTCGACCAGGGCTGGAGACTAACAACAACTGAGGTACATGCCCTTGGCCAGAATCAAACCTGTGACTCTTTGGTCTGTGGGCCGATGCTCTAACCACTGAGTAAAATCAGCCAGGGCTGTTCCCCTGGTTTTAAAAATGTCGTTGTTTTTTTTATCCTCACCCAAGAACATTTTTCGATATTTTGTTCAGATAGAGTGGGAGGGAGAAAGAGAGAAACATCGACGTGAAAGGGACACATCAAGTGGTTGCCACCAGCATGACCCAACCAGGGCCAGGGACAAACCGCAACCGGGGTACACGCGCTTAGCAGGAACTGAACTCGGGTCTCTCTGGACCACAGGCCAACGCTCTAACCGCTGAGCAAAACTGGCCAGGGCTTAAAAAGTTTTTAATTGATTTTTTAGAGAGAGAGATAGGAACATCGATGTGAGAGAGAAACATCAATCAGCTGCCTCCTGCATGTCCCCCACTGGAAATTGAGCCCAAAACCTGGGCATGCCCTGACCAGAAATTGTACCGGGACTTCTCAGTCCATGGAACCATGCTCAATCCACTGAGCTACACCGGCTGGGCAAAAAAAAATTTATCGATTGATTTTTTAAAAATTATTTTTAGAGAAAGAAGTGGGAGAGAGAAAAACATTGATTTGTTCTTCCACTTACTTATACATTTATTGGTTGATTCTTGTATGTGCCCTGTCGGGATCAAATCCACAACCTTGGCATATTGGGTGAACACTCTAACCAATTGAGCACTCAGCCAGGGCTGTACCTCTGTTTAACTCCTTTCTTTCTTCACATACTATACCTCAAGTTTATTCCATATCAGTACACATAGAGCTGCCTTATTCTTTTTGATAACTATATAGTATTCCACTATGTAGTATTCCACTATGTGTATTTTTATTTTACTTTTTTTTTTTTTTATCCTCACCCAAGGACATTTTTCCATTTTTTGTTCAGGTAGAGTGGGAGGGAGAGAGAGGAACAGAGAGAGAGAGAAACATGGATGTGAAAGGAACACATCGTGTGGCTGCCACCCGCACAACTGACCAGGGCCGGGGACAAACTGCAACCGAGGTACGCGCCCTTAGCGGGAACGGAACCTGGGTCTCTCAGGACCGCAGGCCGACGCTCTAACCGCTGAGCCAAACCGGCCAGGGCTTACTTATTTATTATTGGACATTTACAAACAACAAAAAAATAATGCCTTAAAAACATTATTATTTATCTATTTAGGACTGCAACTATTTCTGTAGTTTAAATTCCTGGAAGTAGAATTATGTCTAAGCATAAGCACTTATAATTTTGATAGATTTTACTGATTACCCTCCACAATTTGCATTATCATCAATACTATATGGCTATACTTCTTTCCTTACTCTCAGCAATAGACTGTCAACAACTTTTTAAAACTTTACCATCTAATAGGTGGAAAATGGTATTTTATTTGAGTTGTGTTCTCATTTCTTTTATGAGTGAAGTTGCATCTTTCATATATTTAAAAGCTATTTTTATTTCCTTTTCTATAAAATACCTATGTCTTTTGCCCAATTTTCAATAGATTTTTGACTAGTTTATTGAATTTTCAGCACTCTTTATATATTCAGGAAATTTAGCTAACATATTAGTAGTTACCTTATGCAGAAGCTTTCCCTGCATGATTTCTTAGACTCCTCATAGCCACCTGTGAAGTATGTATTTTAGTTACCATTTTACAGCTGATGAAATGAAGGCTCAGCTAGGTAAAGTAACTTACCCAGGGTCATAAAAGTGATAAATTGGAGAGTCAAGACCCAAGCCCACATCTGTCTGACCCAGAAGCCTACATGTGTCTTCTTGGTAACATAGGGTGGTAAGAGCTCATAGACACAGCCTGCCTCACCTGCCGGCCTAGATAATGTGAGCGCCTCAGGTCTCCTCCACTCACCATTTGCTGGCACATGGACTTCCATTTTGTTTTGTTTTTCCAATGAAACAGCATTTCTCAAACTTTTCCACCCAAGTTCCCCTTTGAATGGAGGAACATAAGCAAGCATCTTGGTCAGGTATGAGAAATTGAGGGGCGGAGGGAGTAGAGGGAAGCAGTGCTACCTGAAAGGCATGAAAGAAACTTCTTTACAGCCTTTTATTTTTGAAATGTATGCAAAAATTGCAATCTACTCCATAATATTTTCATATTTGTTTTAACATAAAAATGATGCTTGAGCCCTGGCCGGTGTGGCCTAGTGGTTAGAACGTCAGCCCTAAAACCGATGGGTTGTGGGTTCAGTTTCTGGTCAAGAGTACACACCTGGATTGCAGGCCCCAGTCTGGGTGCTTGCGGGAGGCAACCAAGCAACCTATGTGTCTTTCACATCAATATTTCTCCCTCTCTTTCTCTCTCTTCCCCTTCCTGCCTTTCACTGTCTCTAAAAATCAATGAAAAACACATTCTCGGGTGAGGATTAACAACAACAAAAAAAAGATGCTTGAAATTTTTTATCTTTGAATTAAACTACCCTTGGGAAAATATGCCATATTTAGCATTTATACCTTGGCTTCTCTCCTGGCACACTGCTGCATTCTCTGGTTACACATAACCCAAGTGAGAAATGCTATGGCAGGGGTCGGCATATTTTTTCTGTGGAGGATCAGATAGTAAAATATTTGGGGGCTTTGTGAGCGACATAGTCTCTGTCACAAGGCTCAATTTTGCTTTTGTCATGTGAAAACAATTATAGATAATATATAAGTAAGTGGACAGGGCTGTGTTCCAATAAAACTTTATCTCCCAAATAAGCAGTTGGCCAGATCTGGCCCTCAGGTTGAAATTTGCTAAACAAAGTGCAACAGCATCAGCCCCTTTAAAAAGCAAATACTTGCCCAGCCAGTGTGGCTCAGTGGTTGAGTGTTGACCCATGCACCAAGAGGTCGCTGGTTGGATTCCCGGTCAGGGCACACGCCCAGGTTGTGGGCCAAATCCCCACTTGGGGGCATGCAGGAGGTGGCCAATTGATGTTCTCTCTCATCGATGTTTCTATCTCTCTCTCCCTCTCCCTTCCTCTCTCTCTCAAATCAATAAAGGTAAATAAATAAACGAATAAAATATTAAAAAGCAAACACTCATGCCCTGACCAGTGTTGCTCAGTGGTTAGAGCATCGGCCTGCAGACCAATGAGTCTTGGCTTCCATTCCAGTCAAGGCCACATACCTCAGTTGTGGTTCGTTCCTGGCCCTGGTCGGGGTCATGCGGGAGGCAACCAGTTGATGTGTCTCTCTCACATCAATGTTTCTTTCTCACTCCCTCTCTCTCTCTTTTCCTCCCTCCCTCCCTCCCACTCTATATAAAGAAAAATGAACAAATATCCTCGGGTGAGGATTAAAAATAAAGAAATAAAAGCAAACACTCAGGAAGAGTAAGACAGGAAGCTTGGTGCAGCGTGTTGCAAAGTGAGCTAATTTGGGGACCAGTTTTTCCAAAGGTCCACACCTAAACTCACAGATGTCTGTGCAGTCCCTTACTGCTGACCTTATTTATGGTTTTGGTGATAGATTAAAATTCAAAACTTGTGCTTCTGTCAAGAAAGTGAAAGACAGCCCTGGCCAGTTTGGCTCAGCGGTTTGAGCGGCGGCCTGCGGAACAGAGAGTCCTGGGTTTGTTCCTGCTAGGGCACGTACAAAAAAAAAAAAAGAAGAAGAAAGTGAAGGACAACCCACAGGGTGGAAGAAAATTATTGTAAATCATCTTTCTGATAAAGAGATTATATCTAGAACATATTTTAAAAAAAAAAACTCTTACAACTCAGTAATAAAAAGACAACCCAATTTTTATTTATTTATTTATTTTCCTTTAATCCTCACCTGAGGACATTTTTCCTTTTTTTGTTCAGATAGAGTGGGAGGGAGAGAGAGAGAGAGAGAGAAACATCGACGTGAAAGGGACACATCGAGTGGTTGCTACCCGCACGACCCAACCAGGGCTGGGGACAAACTTCAACCGAGGTACATGCCCTTGGCGGGAACCGAACACGGATCTCTCTGGACTGCAGGCCGACGCTCTAACCGCTGAGCCAAACCGGCCAGGGCAACAACCCAATTTTGAAACAGGCAAAAAATTTAAATAGAAATTTATCCAAAGAAGATACAAATAGCCAATAAGTACATTAAAAGATGCTAATTATCTTTTGAAACAGGCAAAAAATTTAAATAGAAATTTATCCAAAGAAGATACAAATAGCCAATAAGTACATTAAAAGATGCTAATTATCATTTGTTCATTGGAGAAATGCCAATCAAAACCACAGTAAGGTACCACTTCACACACACTAGGATAGTAATAATAATAATAGTAGAGTAATAAGGAGAAGGAGGAGGAGGAGTAAGAGAATGAAAAGGAGAAGAAAACAGGCAATAGCAAGTGTTGGCAAAGAAGTGGAGAAATTGGAACCCTCATACAGTACAGTCACTTTGGAAAACAGTCTGGAAGTTCCTCAAAGAGTTAAACACAGAGTTACCACATGACCCAGCAATTCCAACTTTTAAAGATAGACCCAAGAGAAATAAAAACATATGTCCACACAAAAACTTGTACTTGAATGTTTATAGCAGCATTATTCATAACAGCCAAAAATGGAAATAATCCAAATGTCCATCAAATGGTGGATACATGAAATGTGATATCTCCATATAATGGAATATTATTCAGCAATAGAAGGGAGCAAAGCACTGATACAAGCTACAATATGAAGGAGCCTGGAAAAAGAATGCCTGGTGAAAGAAGCCAGCCCTGGCCAGTGTGGCTTCGTGGGAGCATCGTCCAGTACACCAAAAAATGTCAATTTCCATTCCTGGTCAGGGCACATACCCAGATTGTGAGTTTGATCTCTGGTTGGGCGCATGCAGGAGGCAACTAATCAATGTCTCTCTCCCTCCCTCCCTCCAAGATCAATTAAAAAAGAAGAAGAAGAAGCCGCACCACATATTGTATGATTCTATTTATATGAAATATCCAGAATAGGCAAATCCACAGAGATAAAAAATTCACAGAGATTAGTGGTTTCTGAGGCAGGATAGTAAGAATCTAGGAAGATTCCTTGACAAGTCAAATAAGGGAATCTGAGACAATATAATTAAGTAAAACCAATCTGAGCAATTTACAGCCAACTAGTGAATCACAAGATTTTATCTTTCCTAACTAATGACACTAAGGAGTAAATGGTTTACATATTCCAAACCATCCAGGACAGAATGGCCCCAGTCCCTGTCCCTCTTCAATGCTGCTCTTTTTTTTTTTTTTCATTTCTCTTCAGATAAAGCGGGAGGGAGAGAGGGAGGAAGAGAGAGACAGAAACATCGATGTGAGAGAGACACATCATCAACTGGTTGCCACCTACACAACCCCAACTGGGGCCAGGGACAAACTGCAACCAAGGTACATGCCCTTAGTGGAAACCAAACCCTGGTCTCTCTGGTCCGCGGGCGGGCCGATGCTCTAACTGCTGAGCCAAACCAGCCAGGGCTTCAGCTCTGTTCTTGATGAGGTTCTTTAAAAATGGTGTAAGTTGGTGGTCTAGTTTTATTTTTTTGCATGTACTTGTCTAATTTTCCCAATACCATTTATTGAAGAGACTGTCTTTTCTCCATTGCATGCTCTTGCCTCCTTTGTCAAATATTAATCGTGCATAATGCCTTGGATCGATTTCTGGGTTCTCTGTTCTGTTTCACTGATCTATATGCCTGGTTTTGTGCCAGTACCAGTCTGTTTAGTTTTTTTTGGTGCCCCTAGCGGGAACCGAACCCAGGACTCTCTGGTCCGCAGGCCGATGCTCCAACCGCTGAGCCAAACCGGCCAGGGCTAGTATTTTAGGTTTGTTTGTTTTTTTTTTTTTTCCTGTCTGTTTTGATTACAATGACTTTGTAGTATAACTTGACATCTGGTATTGTGATCCCTCCAACTCTGTTCTTCTTTTTTGAGATTGCTGTGGTTATTTGGGGTCATTTTGGTTTCATATTAACTTTTGAAGTATTTGTTCTAAATCTGTGAAATATGCCATTGGTACTTTGAATTGCTTTGAATCTACAGATTGCTTTGGGTAGTATGGACATTTTAATGATGTTGATTCTTTCAATCCATGAACATGGTATATGCTTCCACTTTTTATTTTTTTATTTTTATTTTTGGTACGGGCCCCTAGCAGGGGCCAAACCCAAGACTCTGGTCTGCAGGCCAGTGCTTCAACTGCTGAGCCAAACCGGCCAGGGCATGCTTCCACTTTTTAATACCTTCCTCTATTTTTTTTTTTTTCAATGTTCTGTAGTATTCTGAGAACAGGTCTTTTACCCCCTTGGTTAAATTTATTACTAGGTATCTTAATATTTTGCTGCAGTGGTAAATGGGATTTTTTTTGTTTCCCTTTCTGCATGTTTATTATTGGTGTATAAGAATACCATTTATTTTTGGATGTTAATTTTGTATCCTGCTACTTTGCTGAATTCATTTATTAAATCTATTATTTTTTGAGAGAGTCTTTAGAGTTTTCTATGTACAATATCATGTCATATGCAAATATTTTCACTTCTTCCTTTCCAATTTGGATGCCTTTTATTTTTTCTTCTTGTCTGATCACTGTGGCTTAGACTTCCAGTACTATGTTGAATAAGAGTTGCGAAAGTGGACATCCCTATGTTGTTCTCATTCTTACGGGAAATGCTTTTAGTTTTTGCACATTGAGTATGATGTTGGCTGTAGGTTTTTCATATCTGGCCTTTATTATGTTGAGATATGATCTCTCTATTCCCAGTTTGCTGAGCGTTTTTATCAGAAATGGGTTCTGGATTTTGTCAAATGCTTTTTTAGCATATATTGATATGATCATATAATTTTTTTTTAAAAGCATTTTAAATTTTATTGACCTTCTGATTTTTACAAATCTTTTTTTTTAATTTTTTTAATTTTTTTATTTTTATTTTTATTTTTTTATCCTCACCCGAGGATATTTTTCCATTTTTTGTACAGATAGAGTGGGAGGGAGAGAGAGGAAGGAGAAAGAGAGAGGAACATCGACGTGAAGGGACACATCGAGTGGCTGCCACTCGCACGACCAACCAGGGCCGGGGACGAACTGCAACCAAAGTACGTGCCCTTAGCAGGAACCGAACCCGGATCTCTCCGGACCGCAGGCCGACGCTCTAACCGCTGAGCCAAACCGGCCAGGGCTGACCTTCTGATTTTTAAAAAAAGTTAAACTTAAGGTCACATCTCTAAGTTTGATGTGCTATATACAGATTGTGCAGAATATGACTATGAAGAGATACAAATTAGTCCATGCCCCCCAAAATTTACTAGAGAATCATTTTCATTAATACATATAAAATTATTATGAAGATAGGACTGTCCAGGTTTTCTGAGACACTTTCAAAGCGACGCAAGGCACAAAATATACACCATTGTGAATACACACATATTCTAGACTTTGTGCCTCTAACACAGCCAATGAAAGTTTGGCTTCATGACTTATAAAACTATATATACTGAAATGATATTCTGCTTCTTAGCTGAAAAAAACCACAGGACCTATAAACATCATGTAGATAATTACTCCAAAATATGGAGTTACAAATACAAGCACTTTATTTTAAAAAGCAAACACAAAAGGTATAAATTCAAAAGTGTTTAAATGTTTCCATTTTGGATAATTGAATTAAGAACCTATACAAGTTTGTTCCCAGAAGCTAATACATCACTAGTCTTTACTAAGGAAAATGAATTCTAAAAATTAACATGGTTTTCAGTAATTCAAATTTCGCTATATAAAAACCTAGAGACCAATAATATCGAATGGCTTCAAAAGATAAACTAGGCTTTTTTATGTAATCAACTTTACCGATGTTTGTCTGGGTCTGTTTATATATACACACAAGTAAAATGTACTCACTCTGCAGTTTCTTATAAAATAGCAAATAAGAAGGAAATGTAGGAGATGTAGAAGGGGAAAGAGAATTCAAAAATTTCTTCTCTTCAGTACCTTTTACTTCAGAATCATCAGAAAGCAACCACTTCCCCTCATACTCCTTTAAGTTTTGCACTACAAACAAAATTTCTCAAATCTACTAATGTTAATGCCTGTTTGGTCACTGGATTCCTTGTTTCTATCAGATTCGAGGGTCCCATTAGTAATGTTAGTCTCAGAATTTCTATTTTTAGCGAATGCTGCACTGGCACCTTTATCAGGATTAGGTACTTTGTTGTATAGCTCATAATCTATCTGCTTTGCTCTTTTGTCCTCCAAGAAGTCCAGCAGCTTCTACATTTTTCTTGTTGTTGTTGTTCAAAACTTTACTTAGTTGTGTGTTTCCACTGACTCTAATCGACACTTCTTCATCGTCATAATTTTCAACCACATCCCTTGCTTCTTCCTCATTCAATGGTTCTGGCTTACCCATTTCACACATTTGATCAAGCACAAAATTTCCCTTATCTAGTTCTAAACTGTTAAGGTCTGTGACTTTAACAGAAGCAGTGTAGTGCCCATTACTAACTCTAATGCCACAATGTATCACAACTGCAAATAATCGATAGCTGTCATTGGTTGGCCTTGTACTCCATTCTTCTAGTGACAATTTAAGAGGTGTCAGTAAAGGAGTGTTGATCTTGGAAAGTCCACCACCATAACAATCAAACTCAGACATTTTGTCAAAAAAAAAAAGACTTTGTTCAGCTTCAGTATAATGATGGCAATTTTCACAGAAATATTTATCTTCTCCTACTGTCCTCTCCACTGAAGCAAACTGTGAAATTGCCCATCTCAGGGTCTTCATTTCTGTTTTTGGCTCTGGAGAAATTTCAGAACTCTCCCCTACTTTGGAAAGTTCATCTTCTTGTACTGGCACACTGATGCCTTGAAAATCTTCTCTTCTTTCTGTGAATCTTGCACAAGTTCTTAATATCAGCTGACCTTGAAATAATTTCTCTACAAGCTCAAAACCAATTTGCTCTGTGCCTTTGTTTATGGGCTTAACCCCATCACCATTAATTGGATCAACATTATTTCCTGGGATTCAAGTCCACAACCATTAATTATGCTATCATTTTCACACTCTTCAAGACTATTTTCATTTTCTTTAGATTGTCCTTTGGATCCTTGGTTTGTTATTTTCCCCAGACTACAAAATTTAGAAAGAATGCTGGGTTGCTGAGTTGTAAACTTTAACCAGTTTATTTTAACTTTTGATTTCTTCTGTGGGGGTCTTATACTTTCATTTTCAGAAATGTACTTGGCAACTATTTTAAGAGGAATCTCTAATGTATCACTAATCATATATTTTTTATCTTTCATTTTGTTTATGTGTTTTATCACATTTATTGATTTGTGAATATTGTACCAGTCTTGCATCCTTGGGATAAATCCCACTTGGTCTTGGTGAATAATTTTTTTTTTTTTTATCCTCACTTGAGGACATTTTTTCATTTTTTATTCAGATAGAGCGGGAGGGAGAGAGAGGAAGAGAGAGAGAGGGAAACATCGACGTGAAAGGGACACATATCGAGTGGCCGCCACCCACAAGACCCAACCAGGGCCTGGGACAAACTGCAGCCAAGGTACAAGCCCTTAGTGGGAACCGAACCCGGGTCTCTCTGGACCACAGGCTGACGCTCTAACCGCTGAGCCAAACTGGCCAGGGCAATAATTTTTTTTAAATACATTTCTGGATCCAATATTTTGTTGAGGATTTTGGCATCTATGTTCATCAGGGATATTGGCTTGTAGTGTCTTTATCTGGTATTGGAATTAGGATATGCTGACCTCATAAAAAGAGCTTGGAAGTCTTCCTTCCTCTTGAATTTTTTGGAACAGTTTGAGGTGAATAGGTATTAGTTCTTCTTTGAATGTTCATTAAAACTCCCCTATGAAGTTGTCCAGACCCAGGCTTTTGTTTGCTAGAAGTTTATAGATTACTGCTTTAATTTCCTTAGTTGTTATTGGTCTGTTCAGGTTTTCTGACTCTTCCTAGTTGAGTTTTGAAAGGCTGTATAATTCTAGGAAATTGTAGGGTTAATATCCAAAATATATAATGTACTCATACAGCTCAACAAAAGGAAGACAAACAACATAATTAAAAAATAGGCAGAGGACCTGAATAGACTCTTCTCCAAATAGTACATACAAATGGCCAAGAGACATATGAAAAAATGCTCAACATGACTAATCATCAGAGAGATGCAAATTAAAATGACTATGAGGTATCACCTCACACCTACCAGAATGTCTGCCATCAACAAATCATCAAACAAGTGCTAGTGAAGGGTGTGGAGAAAAGGGGACTCTAGTATACTGCTGGTGGGAATGCAGACTGGTGCATCCACTATGGAAAACAATATGGTATTTCCTCAAAAAATCAAAAATGGAACTGCCATTTGACCCAGTGATCTCGGAATATATGCTAAGAAGCCTAAAACACCAATCAGAAAGACTATATATGCACTCCTATGTTCATAGCTCTGTTTACAATAGCTAAGTTCTGGAGACAGCCCAAGTGCCCATAAGTAGATGAGTGGATAAAAAAAGCTGTGGTACATTTACACAGTGGAATACTAGGCAGCTGTGAGAAAGATCTCTTACCCTTTGAGACAACATGGAGGGACCTGGAGAGTATTATGCTAAATGAAATAAGCCAGTCAGAGAAAGACAAGTGCCACATGATCTCACTTATTTATGGAATATATTGAACAAAATAAGCTGACGATCAAAATCTATCCAGAGACATGGAAGTAGGAAACAGACCGACAAACCTCAGAGGGAATGGGAATAGAGGGGTGGGAATAGATTAACCAAAGAATTTACATGCATATATGCATAACCAATGGACACAGACAATAGTGTGGGGAAAGCAGGGGGATGGGAGTGGGGAGGAGGGGGTCAATGGGGGAAACATCAATAAAGACAAAAATGATAATAAGACAAGACCTGGTCGGTTTGGCTCAGCAGTTAGAGCATCGGCTTGCGGACCAGAGAGTCCCAGGTTCCCGCTAAGGGCATGTACCTCAGTTGCAGTTTGTCCGGCAGCCTTGGTTGGAGTCGTGTGGGTGGCAACCAGTCGATGTGTCTCTCTCACGTCGAAGTTTCTCTCTCTCTCTTCCCCCCTCTTTCCCTCTCGCTCTACCTTAAGATAAATGCAAAAATTACCTCGGGTGAGGATAAAAAAATAAAAATTAAAAAAAGATAATAAACAAAATGAAACTAACTAGAAAGTAACCCCTGACCCCTCTATACACACATTTTGATAAATCAACATATTGAAAGACACACCTGAAAAGCTAATGAATATTCCGTTAAGACTCTCCTAGAATTGCAGTAGGCCAAAGAGATGAAAAGCCTCAAGATAAAGGAGCCACAGCATGCCCTTGCCAGAGCACACCCACGCCTTGTATCTTTGCTGTTTTTCTCCTAAACTCTAAGGGACCCCATGAGACTTGCAACCAGGAGAGCAGTGGGCCGTGGCAGCTAACACTCTGAACCTGTCTCCAAGGCTCCCTTTTCTCTGACTTTTCCCCCTGTTGCTGCTCCTACCTTATGCTCTCCCTTTGTCTCACTGTCCCCAGCTTTAATAAACATACTCTCAAAAGCCACCTGGACTCATATTGTGAAATCTTTCCTACACAAAGTCAAGAACTCCCACACTACTGGTGGGCCCTACGTAGAGTAAAAAGTACATTCTTCAGAAGAAACTGTCATGCAATATTAGCCTCTGGATTGGTCAGAGATGGCAATGCTGTAGATGACCAGTGGTCTGAATACTGGCTCTCGGGTGGTCTGGATAGTGAACATTCTTTCCTTCCTCTTTCAGAGCGTTAGCTGGAAGTTTGATGTATGTCCAGGCATTGACACAGGACTGGAAAGTTCAAAAGTTTAAGTTCCCAGGTTAGTTAAAGCAAGAACAGAATTGTTTTCTCTTATCTCAACCTACTTGCTATTGGTAATTTAGCAGCTTGACTATAGTGACTCCATTTTATTTCTTCACTCTATTCCTCGGGCATTAACTTCTTTATTATTCACAACAACCTGCATAAGGACCAACATTAGCCCTTGTTTTATAGATGAGAATATGAGACACCCATAGTTGGGAGCCCCGTGAAGATCACATGGTGCAGGGGAAATAACACGGGCTTGGGGGACAATTCACTGTAGACCTTAGATAAATTACACTCAATTCTTCAGACTCTCAGAGGCCAGCAGCTCAGAGGAACTAGCCTCCGGTGACTAAGGAGCTCTCCCTAAAGCACAGGACTGGCTTGGGTGTTATTTGGAGATCTGCCTTTTATAGAGAGTCACCTGATGAGGACCAAGATTTGGCCCCCAGAGAAGGAGCTAGCTGCCTGGAGTTGGGAACCAGCCTAGAGGTGGGGCAGAGAGGAACACAGCAGGAGGGCACCTAGGGACGGGTGAGAAGGCTGGCTCTGAGACACATGTTGGGTGTACAAGAGAACCCAGCCCCTGAGGCTCTGGACCAGAACTGGGGATGGGTATGCTCTCTGCTATTCCCCAGTGGCTAGAGGCCAGGTAAGAGCGCCTTGCCAGATGCCAACTTTCTGACTTCCATCACCCATGGGTCTGCGCTCTGCGAGCCGACGCTCTAACCGCTGCGCCAAACTGGCCAGGGCACCCATGGGTCTGTATTCCCTGAATCCTTGAAGGTCTGTGTTTTAAACCACCCATACCACCTGTGACCAGTTCCCCATACCCTAGGACACTGAGTCTCCTCGGACAAACAGATTTCTTAGAGCTCTTAACATCACATGCTTGCACACTTGCTCCTCCCACCCCCACCCCACAATGATGGTATTAGCCTAGGCTCCGGTCTAGTTTCAGGTTGGAAATTGCTACACCTTATCTGACCAACTCCCCGAAATAACTTGCTAGTTGATAAAGGCAGAGATTTAAGTGGGTTCAACTGAGAGAGTTCTTTTTTTTTTTTTTATCCTCACCCAAGGAGATTTTTCCATTTTTTTTGTTCAGATAGAGTGGAAGGAAAAGAGAGACACCCATGTGAAAGGGAACATTGAGTGGCTGCCACCTACACGACCCAACCAGGGTTGGGGACAAACTGCAACCGAGATACATGCCCTTAGCAGGAACCGGACCCAGGTCTCTTGGGACCGCAGGCCGACGCTCTAACCGCTGAGCAAAACCGGCCAAGGAGAGAGAGTGTTCTTAAGATGTCAGCCTTTCTGCCCTGGCCGGTGTGCCTCAATTGGTTGGGTGTTTTCCTGTGCAATGAAAAGTTGCTGTTCATTAGATTCCCGGTCAGGGCACGTGCCTGGGTTGCAGGCTTGATCCCCAGTATGGGGCATTCAGGAGACAGCCATTCTGCCTCCTTTCACATCGATGTTTTTCTCTGTCCCTCTCCCTTCCTTTCTTTCTAAAAATCAATAAAAAATTATTCTTAAAAAAAAAAAAAGATGTTAGCCTCTCCTACTTTTAGGCCTGAAAGCCTTGAATCACATGGGGGTGAACTTTTAAAATTAAAGGGTAATTCCTGTGAAGGGCACTGAGTAAGCATTGGCTATGTATTATTGCTATTATTGACCGACTCCTCCGAGCTGTACAGCAGTGAGTTGGGGTCATTCTGGGACTAGAGTGTAACGAGAATCTTGTGGTGCTCCACAAAGCTGCTGTAATCTAAGGCCTTAGTCATAAAGCAGTGAGAATGTGGATCAACTTATGCATGAGGCTCTGGAGCCCTTGAGGTAGGGGCAGGGAAGGTCAGTACCCCAGCCTTTGGGCTAATGATTCAGCCAGGGAGACCTGTAGGTGGACCAGAGCTATTCACTCAAGGCCATGAGACAGCCCCTGAGATAAATTCACTTCCAGCAAAAAAGTCTAGGCTCAAGACCTGGGGCCCAGAATCTCCATCCATCCATCCATCCATCCACCCATCCATCCATCCACTTATTCAACAAATATTAGGGCAAACCCACTAAGAGCCAAGGCAGGGTCATTTTTTTACCCTTGTTGGTCTTAGCCCCACAACTTATCACACTTGATCAAATGTACTATGTTCCACATTAAGTAATATTTTGCTGTTAAATTTTTTGGAAGAAATTTTGTAGTTTTGCTTTTGAAATTATCTGACTTTATGTAACTTATTTAAATTAGGATTTGCTGTGATGTTTTTAAACAATCATCCTCTATACTCCAGGTAGTCTTGGGTTGAGAAATTCTAACTTACAAATCCTTCTCAATTGTCCCAAGTGTTTGTAAGTATTAAATTTAAATAAATAAATAAATAAATAAAATAAAATCCTCGCCCTAGCCGGTTTGGCTCAGCAGAGCATTGG